CAGATTTTGCGAAAGACTGAAAGGGCAACATTATGCCAACCAAAGGATTGGACTCTCATGGGAATGGAATCAGTAAGAATTCAACTGTGTCATCTCTGCTGTTCACCTAATCATTTCTCTAATGAATGACTAGCTGTGACTATCATTGTGGTTAAACTTGTGCTCATTCTTGGTGTGGCTTGTATGAGACGTCTTTCGGATGTGCTTGCTTTTGAGTCTTTAATTGGGACCTTAAACCAAATGATTGAATCGAGAAGTGTCACGATAAGCTGATTTCTCATTGTGGGATTATATTTACTTCCCTGACAACACTGTTTTGCTCAGAGGTTATCGAATACATTCCCAGACACACAAAGTCCCAAAGTTACAGACACACTGTGTTTCAGAAATCCATCTGAATGTAAATTAGGATATATTTTCCCATAAAACAATGTTATAAATGGTGATAAGATTCTCACCAATACGCCTCTATTTCATATTATGGCTGGACTACAAGGACATAGAACATGCCCACTATTTGGAGCATGATTTTAACAAGAAAATTCATTCTCTTTCAGGGAAACTTCAGAAGTTAAAAAAAATAAAAAAAGGGTGCCGTCTATAACCCAGTTTCTGAGGTAAATTAAACTGATAACGATGATTGTAAGAGCTAACACTTGAACAGTAAGTATGCTTTTGGGACTTTTCTATGGACTACTTAATTTAGTCTTTAAGATAATACTATTAAGTAAATACTGCTATAATTCCCATTTACAGTTAAGGACACTGAGGTACAGAAAGTCACATGGTTAATAAGTGGCAAAACCAGGATCTGACTCTAAAGTCCATGGGCTAACCCAGAAATTGGCAAACTATGGCCCACAGGCCATATCTGGTCTGCCACTTGTTTTTGTAAATCACATTTTATTGGAACATACCATGCTCATTTGTTTACGTATTGTCAGGGGCTGCTTTTGTGCTACAATGGCAGAGCCAAGTATTACAACAGATTCTATGGCTTGCAAAGCCTCAAGTATTTATTATCTGGCCCTTTACAGAAAAAGTTTGCTGAGCCAGAGCTAAACCATCCTCTGGACTGCCTCCAAGGGAAGACAGACCCCCTCCCCACTCTGGCTGTGAGCCTCATCACAGGCAGCAGAGACACAGAGGTCACAGGAAACAACAGCAATCCTAGTTGTCTTCAACAGTGACGGCAGGTTCAGGGGAATCACTCACCAATCAGCACTGGGTGTTATAATGTGTTTACCTCTCAATGAGCTCCTTGCTTTGTTCCCAAGGAGAGCTGAAGCAGGGCCCACAGGTGCGGAACATGAGCTCCACAGAAAGCAGGAGCTGTTTGCTTTGTTCACTGCTGGAATCTTGCTTATTGAACAAATGAAAAATATATAACTTATAAATCAGGGACCACATGTACTTTATTTGAAGACAAACATGGAACAGATTAAAGTCCCACAGACGCACTGCTGGTGAATACTTTTCTCAAGGTTCTGGTTTCCTTTGTCTTTTAGGCTTGATGAACTGCTCTGGCAGAATCTGCATTAGAGAGTAAAGTCATTTCCAACCACCCTGCGATTTTCCTTGGCTCCCAAGAGCTTCACTCGCTGATCATTCTGTTTGCCAAGATTCTAGAATCAACCATTTAAATCTGAAACATTTTCCATCTAATTATCAGATGAATGCTAATGCAGGGGAAGCATTGTAAATGCTCATTTTTTGATTTTTTCTTTCATCAGACTGAATGACTTTTGATTTCTGGGGAAAGATTTCAAAACCACATTTAGTTAACTCTTTCTAGAAAACAGAGCTGGACAGGAAAAGAATAACCCAAAAGACTAGACACAGTGAGATGCCATTGAGAGATGACTGTTCCTAAAAGGACTGACCATCATGCTGTTTCATTCAATAATGATTGGCCATTGAACTTAAAAAAAAATTGTATTCAGCTGAATCAAACTGTTAGCAGAGGATGGAAAAGTATCTGTGAACAAGTAGGCAGAGAAGAAAGGACTAATGTGATGGGACGCAAGTCGGAACGGCAATTATATGGAGAGAAAGAATACTGAGAGGGAAGCCCGTAGACACTGGGAAGCCATCATCCTGAGGCTAGAGGCCGAGAGGGAGGAAACGGGGTGGGAAAGGAAGTTCCTCAGTTGCACCCTGATGCTAACTGGCACCCTGTTCGAAGAGAATGGCTGCCACCCAGAACTGCTCAAATGTGGACACCATCCTTTCTGCCCTGGCACACAGCTTCCCAACAGCTTGGCACCAGGGAAGGATTTCAACTTTCACTTTTATAGGCCTCAACAAAATACCATTACGTGCTTGAACCCCTGCCTAATATCAGATCTGAATATTCCACTTAAAATGCAGCAAGGCAGTTGTCATAAAATTCTCAGCATCTTTTGCAACCATCATCTAGTGGCTTTCTGCCCAGTCTCTTGCAGTTGTGTTTTTAAAATGCTCTAAGTAAATGAGCTAATATAATTTGAGTAAAATCCAGAAGCTAAAAGATATTTAAAGAAAAAGGTGGCCTGTGGTTCCTGTAGGTGCTCCGAGCACAGACCTCAGGGGCTGGATAGCAGGGGCTCAGCTCCCCTGCTGCCTCCACCCCTCCCCGCTGATACTCATGGCCTTGGGCTAGCTCTACTGCAAGGTCCACAGCTCTCCCAGGAGACAACAGTGACCAGCAACACACACACAGCCTCTGACCAGCCTGTGACCAGCCTCTAAAATGAAAGGCTCTGCTTCTGCCCACAAGCCCTCTGACCTGTATTTAAAATGTTTTTATTTTTTATTTTGGAACTCTGACTTTCATAAAAAGCTGGGCTCACTGCCCAGAAGAACAGGAAGTTTACTCACCAGGAAGCCATGGAAACAAAGCATAAAAAGAAGGTTGACATTTCTCCATCAGCAAAGTTAAGTCTCAGACATTACTGAGAGTGACACACCGTGATGCCCAACACTGCTCCTCCTGCAAAAGTATCCTGTACCCGCGGTTCCTGACCTAGGGATTGCTAATGGCCTACTCGAGGGCATGAAATTCAGTAAAGCTCTCTTTAGCTCCTCAGGTTTTTCCCCTGCCTGAGACAGCTGAGTAATTAATGCTGGCACGTGTAACTCTCTCTAGAAGGATCTATCCATTACAAAGGTGGTGTGACATTGGAGGCTCAAGGAAGCCTTCCCGTCCAGTATTCCAGGTCTGTGTCCTTAGCTGTGGGGTATGGGTGGAAGCAGATGATAAAGCAAGTGAAAAAAATAAAGACAAACAGAAAAAGAGCTACGCCTGGGATAGATACTTGAAGCTACCCAAAACCTTGACTTTCATCTTTGTACTTAAATTCCTCTAAATATTATAAGGCCTCATTGGAAAGAACCATATACTTCCCATTATATATGTGTGTGTGTACATGTGTGTGTATTTAAATATATATTTATATACAAAATCATAACGTATAATTACTTATATATAATTTTTTCTTTTTATTATTTTTTCTCTCCTACATTTTTTAAGAGCAGAGATTGCAAGCTGGTTCTCACTGGTTGAATCCTACCTGTGTCTAAAACAATAGATGTGTGTTTGCCCTATGCAGAATTCTCAGTTCTAATTAGCTGCCAACATTAAAAAAAAATTAGAAAATGTCATATAAACACCTGGAGTTTTGGCTTCTCTAGAAGAACGAAGATCTGGCTACATGAGGCCTGCACTTGTGCAAGGAAATAATCAACTGGCCCTGAGTAGCAGTGGCTACCGCCTTCAGACAGGATTTGAGGACAGCTGCTCACCCCAGTCTCTACCACTCCCTATTGTCTCATCAACCCTGAGGCCAGCTGTTAGTTGCCATTTATTTATATCAGCTGTGACTTATTTCACTCATCTGTGCTCCCAAGGCATCCAACCTTAGAGCCCCTGCTGGTAAGGACTTGCCACCAACATCCACTTTAACCAAACATTGGTATAACAAAATAATTTGAACGACTTTCTGTTTTACATCCTTTGGAATTCATTCTATCTGGATATGACCTTTGTGTTTCTTTGGGAACAAGAGAAGGAAAACAAGATTATCAGAATCCCATTAGTGTCAATATTTTAGTAACATTTCAGTGTCTGTACACACGTGTGTGTGCATGTGTATTTGTTTATGGTGAGGAAATTCTAGGGAATCCTAATTAGTCTGAAGAAGTGAAAGATTCGAAAAGGAATCAACCAGTTACACAGACCGAAGAGGCTCTTATATGGATCCCTCCAACAGCCAAAACGCAGGGTGATTACAGAAGTTGTGCTTGGAACATAAGGTAGGTGCTTAGAAAAAAGAATGTTCATTAAAATGTGAGATGTCTGGTAAGAAAAGAGAAGGGATAGAAGGAGAATAGATAGAGAGAAGCAAGAAGGAACAGAAAAAGGAGGGAGAAAGAAGACAGATGAATCTGGGACAGAAAGCAAACACAGGTAAAGTAACTAAAGACAAAGAGGCTGGCCTTTCCTAAAGATCTGGAGCAAAAATAAAAAAAATCCCAAACAAAGGAATATTTGTTTAAGCTGGTTTCTTAGAACAAAATTAGAAACCTTTTGCTTTCCGTAGGAGAAGAAAAAAAATCAGATGCCGGCACGATAGCTAATTACACTCAAACCACCTCCCCCAGAAAAGGCAAAAATGACTTCCTCCTTTTTGGAGGAGCACAAGCTCTTCTTTGTCAGAAAGATCCTGTGCTCCAAACCTGCCTGTCTCCCCAGTAATGCACAAACCAATTTCTTATGCAGAAATCAACCTTGCACTTATTTATGGGATATTTCCAATTTCCATTCTCTAAATGATAACAGACGTAGAACATCGACAGCTTCTAAGGAAAGAGATTACACAATATTTATGCTTTTAAATAAAAAGATGATTAACATTTAAATTACTTTTTGCCTTTCAATGGTGTGACCACCAAAATCTGGCCCTTCCTCAAGTTACGCTTTATAAAGGAAGTGTTTTCAGTAATTTTGTTGGTATCCTCACCTCGAATTTCTGCCTGAGCTCCATGTTTCCTTCTTCGTCCCCTTCTGGAATGGGTACGTTGTAGTACTCACCTTCCTCTTGGTTAAGCAACTTGTACCTTTCAGAGACACAGGAGAGGAGAGTTAACGGCACTGTGCTGGCACCACCCCAAGTCCAGCAGCTCTTCTCCTTAAACCTCTAGACCAGCTGTTCCGTGAAATGCATCTTATGGAAAGTCTACAGGCACAATATTAGACATTCAACTGACATTTTATTTTTATTTTATCTTATTTTATTTTTTCCTGACCGGTAAGGAGATCGCAACCCTCGGCATGGTGTTGTCTGTGCCATGCTCAGCCAGCAAGCACACCAGCCATCTCTATATAGGATCCGAACCCACAGCCTTGGCGCTACCAGTGCCGCACTCTCCCGAGTGAGCCATGGGGCCGGCCCTTCAACTGACATTTTAGAGACTTACGTGGACTTGTTTTCAGAACCTCTAAATGGCTTAATATTTTGGGACATACTTAATTTCAGGGGCTTGCTTACCAACCACTGGCTGGCATCTTCATTAGCTCTGAAACTCCAAAAGAAAGCGATCCCATGAAGTCATTCCTTGTTGTTCGATCCCAGTCCCAGATTTCTACAGACAGTCGACGGTCTTTGTCTGAAGGTTTTAATTTGCTACGAAACACACACACACACACACACACAAGGTTATCTTGATCATGGTTTCTTGGGAGACACCACATGCTCATGATCTGAGCCTGAGGCAGAGAAACAGTATGTTCAATTCTTTTCCTGTGCCAACGAAGTATCAGCCCCTTTCTCTGGCAACTAAAGCTCTAGACTAGGGGTTGGCAAACTACCACTCGTGGGCCAAATCTGGCCCACTACTTGTTTTTATAAATAAAGTTTTATTAGAATGTAGCCACAGCCATTTGTTTACTTATTATCTATGGCTGCTTTGGCACTAAAACTTCAGAGCTGTGTAGGTGCAACAGAGACCGTATGACCCACAAGTCTAAAACATACACTATCTGGCCCTTTACAGAGCAAAGCTCTGTTTACAATAGAAGGCTACCTTTCTGTCTGCCCACAGACAAACTGCTTCCTGGGTATTCGTCTACAAGGAGGACCACTTGCGTGTGCTCAGCTGCTTTCTTACTCCTGACTTATTTATTCCCTCCTTAGTTCTTCCCCTTCCACCATCTCTATCTCTGAAGTCCTGGCAATCCTTCAAGGCCCACTTTAAATGTCACCTTTCCAGAATGTCTTCCCGAGTTGAAAGTGAGAATATTCTTCCGATTTCAGTGGCAACAACACTTCCTATATTACTCAGTTATTGTTTTAAAAATTGTTAAATTCTCTCCTTACACCCTTCCCCAACCCTCAAAAGAACCTAAGTCCATCAAGAAGTGGGACACACCTTACATGTTCTTATATCATTTGTAACACCTTAAACAAAATTTTTTGTACAGAATAGGTGATGATAATAATTTGGGGCCTTCAATATGCAACTATCGATAAACTGAGTTACTATCCATCAAATACAGGTGGTAACAGGTACCTCCCTACCAGCAGACTGAGAAGGTCACAGGAATGAAGACACGTTTAAAGACATTTATAATGAACCTCCCTTGTTATCTCTAACAATGAGGTGGGCAGTTCCATGGTTTATAGGGAGGGAATTTGATCGAGAAGAGATCACTTACAATGTAAAGGATTCATTCCACTGGGGGTTTAGCGTGGAGCGAATGGTTTTGGTTTTCTGTTTGCTTTCATTCTTGGGATCAGGAATAAGTTTCAGCTTCACATAAGGATCTGAAAGTCCATTTGGATCCATAGGGATTAGATTTTTTGCATCTCGTACTGTGAAGAGAGAAGGAAGCAAATGTTACAAAAAGAGAACTGACCATATTGCCTAGTGTTCTGTCAATACCAAGCTGAATAAAAGAGACATCAAGAAGGTGTTTAAGGGGAGGGAATGTGAGAGTGAAATACCTCTGACACTCAATACGGGAAAAGCTACCCGCCACCATCACTGGCGGAGGTAATGGGCATTGTGTGGGCCCTTGTGGTTGGGCTTGAGACTCAGCACCAGCCTGGACCAACAGCATCAGTGACATCCAGGCACCCATTAGAAATTCAGAAACCACCCCAAACCTGTTGAAACAGAATCCACATTTTAACATGATTCCCAGGTGATGTTTACAGCTCTCCAGGAGAAATGGTGCCCCTCCTCCATCTAAGCAACCAACTCAACCTGGTCCACGGTGCTGCCCGTTGCACTTGAGCTCCTAGAAGGTGTCATCTCTTTTCTTTGTAAAGGCCAGTGGTTTCCAACCCTGGCTGTACATTGGAATCACTTGGGGAGGGGGGCTAAAAATTCCAATGCTCAGAATTACATTAGAATACCTGAGGGTGTATGGCCCAAGTACTGGCTTTTAAAAGCTCCCCAGGTGATTCTATTGTGCAGCAGGGGCAAGAGCCACTGGTATACAGTTGTGGTTCAGCATTGTTACCCCGTGTGTAGGTCCATGGACCAGCAGCACCTATATCACCTGGGAACTCATTAGACATGCAGAATCTCAGGCCCCACCTCAAAATTACTAACTCAGAATCCTCACCTTAACAGACACCAGCAATACACCTCTACCTGGGATCAGGCTCTCTAGCCCAGTGGTTCTCACACTGGTGCCTGGACTAGCAGAATCGGCATCACTACCTGAATCAGAACTCTGGGGCTGGGATCTAGTGAGCCATTACCAAGCCTCCAGGTGATGTATGTAAAGGTTGGAGAACCACAGAGCTAGCCAATCAGCACAGGTGATCAGCACAGTTTGATCATTAAGAATGACAGAAGAAATTTAGAAGGTGCCAGGGTTGGCAGTGGGCAGGGATATAGGAGGGGATGGAAAAATGATAAAGATGTTGGGTCTTTGGACACAAATGAGGGGGTGCAGCCCTAAGAGAAGACAAGCGTTGTCATATTAGTCTGTGGACCCACTGTGTGTTGACTCCTGACAGCCAATACCCTTACATCCTCCTTACCTGGCAGTTAAGGTCATATTCCAATGGTCTGAGAGGGGGCATGGTGGCTCAGGTGTGCTAGCCACAGAAGCCAACCAAGCACAAGTTCCTCATACTCCATTTGTGCCTTCCAAGTATCTCTTCCCATAAGACAATATCTAACCTCAGCCAGCTGGGGGCGTGGACAGAACATAAATAAACAATCACAGGCTCTGCAGCTCAGCAGAGCAACTTTCAAATCCTGCCTCTTCACCGTGTAACCCTGAGCATTCTGAGGGTTAAAGTCCCTGACCCTCTGTATCTTCATCTAAAAAACTGGGGCATAATTCTCATGGTATAGGATTGTTGGGTGGATTTAATAAAATCATGCATATAAAATACCTTACATAGTTGGGGGCTTGGAAAATAAAACAAACAAAAAACATGATGTGAGTGCACACTATGCCTCAGGCATGATGTTTTAGACTCATCTGACTGATCATTTTGAAGTCTCCAGTGAGGTTGGAGGTCCCCAGGGGACTTGGCCACTTGAGACCTCACCAAGCTAATGCAGAAGGTTTTAATGCAATGCAGAAGGTCTAGCTTCCAAAATATTAACGCCGAGCATCACAAAAAGATGAAAAATTTGGCCATAAAAATGGAGCTTTCCTGTGAGGAATGAAAAGGAGCCAAAAGTGTCCCTCCGATTAAACACCAGAATGAGAATCAGACACTTTCTAAAGGCAGAAAATGCCCTGGAATATCTAACACTGAAGGCTGCAGAAGGCGACATCCCAGATAAACTAATGAAGAACCTTATCAAGGCCACCAGGAGTTCCCAGGCTGCCTCCTGCCAGCTGTAGAATTATTACGGGTGCTGGCTGTTACATCTTCAATTTATAGTCCTGACAGCCAGCACACACCAAATCATTTAAGGATGATGTCTTCTTAATGGTGATAAGTTAAAATCTTGATGGGATTTAAAGCTGTGGGCTTCCTACTGAGTGAAATACTATCATTTCAGCTGACAGTGAAAAGAGGTATCAATTCCAAATGTCACTGAAGCAGACAGAGGGTCCAAATTTCACTTTCTTATTGCAGCGGAGAACAGCCTACCTGACGTGGGGACTCATCGTGGACTAAGACACCTGAATCAGGATTACAAGCAACTAACTTGGGGCCCCATCTGCTTAAAATGTGGGCTCTGGGTCCAGGATGCCTGTGTTCAAATTCTGGAAACATCACTTCATGGTTGTGGGCAAGATATTTCAATTCCCTGTGCCTCGGTTTCCTCATCTGGAAGACTGTAGCTCCCTCATATGTCAAGATTATATAGATTCATACATGTAAAAGGCTTAGAGCAGTGATAGGTATACAGTAAGAGCCCAATAATGATCATCATTCTTGTTAATACAAGTTACTGGCAGAGAACAAAATCCGAAAGCCTTAGATGTTCAGAAACTGGACTGGCACCTTATGAATTGGCAAGCAAATGCCGTGGGAACAGTATGATGTGGAAATTTTCTAACGTGGTTGCAACTGTGTGTTTTCAACATGTCTTAAAATAAGATGCAGTGCTGGAGGGATTGGCTGTAGGGAAGTTGGAAGGGGGAAGCCAGGAAACAGAAAAGAGCAAAATTAAAGAGGGGATGTGGAGGAGAAGTAGGGCTAGAGACAAGAGAAACAAGGGAAAGATGTAATCAAGATGTGGGATCAAGGGCGGTGGGCATGATGGCCCAACACAGGTGGGCAGCAGTTCTCAACCTCAGCTGCAAATACCTGGGATGTTTTAGTCCAATACTAATGCTGGGCATCACCCCCGGGAAATCAGATTTACTTGGTTCTGGATTGAGACCTGGGCAGCAGGATCTTTCAAGCTCCCCAGATGAGTCTCATGTGAAGCCAGGGACAGGTACTGTTAATGCAGTTGTTCCCAAACTGTGGTCCCTGGACTAGCATCATTGGCATCATTTGAGGACCGTGACAATTATTTACATTTTTCTTTAAATTGGCTCACTTTTTAACATCCAACATTTAAAAAGGAAAGATATCACTACAGTAAATGAAAAACCAAGATTGCCTGCCATAAAGAGAAAGTATCATAAAAGTAAACACAATAACAATCTTTGATTCATTTCTAGCTGGACACAGTTGCTTGAGGCCTGGTGTCTCTTAGACAAAGGGGGAAATTAACAAGTGCTGGAGTGTTAAGGATATTGTAGCCCCAGATAGAGTCTTCCTCTCTGTTACAACCCAGGAAAATTGAAAAGGGAATAATTTTCTCACCATGTAATTTAATGCATTTTAATGTTTGTTCAGTACCTTTAGAAATCATCTCAAATGCTCCCAAAAGTCATTCCCACTGATGGCCCTGTTCCACACGTGGAAAGATCAGTTGTAGGGAATGTCAATTCTGAGGTTATTAAGGATGTGGAATAATCCACAGTCTAAGTGCAACAGTAGGTCCAAGAAGAACAGACACAGCACAGGTTCCAAGGCTCATTTCTTGTCTTGCTTTTTATAAGAAATAAATTGTTTTGACATACAGAATTAAGACAGAGAAGAAAATAATACCCCTTTGATAAATAAACAAGATTTTAAAAGATCTGTCATGCCAACTCAGGTTCCAAAAGGTAGATAAACACAGCAGTACAGAAGTGACACATTTCTCTTGCTCATTCAGATGCAGAAGCATAGCTGCGTTCCCAGGGGCTGCACACATGGCCCCGGAGCCCCACTGTGGAAACACAGTAACAATGTTCTCCCTTCGCATCTCATTAGCAGTTCTGCAGCCTTTATGAGAAGGAGACATCTGCTGAAGAAATACATCTGTGCCATGGTACTGGCCATTTCAGAATGGAAAGTGTTCTGCAATTCCACAACCTTAACAGAAATAGAGAATACTAATTATATTCCCATCTTTTAGCTTGAGATGGCTGCTCTGAAATGATCAGCTGTTGAGTCCAGCACTGAGGAAAAACCAACCCAGGTTAGAAGGTTATATAACTTCCTGATAATGCAAGGTGTCATTTCTGGATAAAACCCATTCAAATAAGATTATGAAGATTGAGAACTACCTACCCAGAGATACCTGATATGGGTGGCTAGGCAATTCCAGGACATGTGAGTTTTGAATAAATGTTTAGGAATGAGGTGGGTATATAAACACGCAGAGGACTGGGCAGCCTTAGCCAGACTGGGGAATCTAAGCCACAGGTGCCCCAGGGTAGATGAACAATGCAGACTTAGCAGTGACACCAGTGATTTTGCCAAGGGCCTGCTGATGGGGAAAAGTAGAGGTGTGAACCCAGGCAGGCAGGCAACTGCCATGCTTTCTCTGGGAGAAGCTAGTTATACCCAGGAAGACGTACAGTCAAGTGAGTGTTAAATGTGCATCCAAGGATGGTCAGGAGCAGGTCAAGGCACTTTGTTCAAAAAGTGTTGCAGATGGGGGCTGACTGCTCAGGAGCAGCCTGACTTAGAGGCTCAAATCCCTGCTCTGCCATTTATTAGCTGTACGATTCTGAGTAATTTATCCAACTTCAGTTTGTTCATCTGTAAAATAGGGACAATAACAGTACATATCATAGGATTGTTGTGCAAATTAAATGAGTTAATATACATAAGGCATTTAGAACAGAATCTGGAACAAAGGAAGTGTTGTGGAAGCATTTTTTATTATTACTGACAGTACTATTGGAAAAGAGTTTTCTCTCTTTATCATCATTATTACCACCATCTTCCAGTCCTCCTCTCTGTCCTTGGAAGCAGGGCTTTTTCCTTGGTGTAAAGAAACTAAGTACAGCAAACCCCTGAACTTGGGTTTGAACTGTATGGATCCACTTATATGTGAATTTTTT